AGGGAAAGAGGTGACGCCTAGGGGCCAGGTTGCCAGACAGCTCAGAAGGGAGAAGGGAAGCCAGGAGTCCTAGGTTCCTTTGCAGCTTGGCGAGCCACCTTCTTGGGCCTCACTTTTCCCGTCTGTATAATGGGAGTCCTTCATGACTCTCAAGGGGCGTCGCCAAGGGCCGCGGGAGAGTGAGCGCTCACCTGCCCCCACAGGGTCCATGGCTGCGCTCCGAGGCCCGGGCCGGCTCGCGTCCGGGGCGCGTCCAATGCCACTGTCCCCGGAACCCTGCGCACTTCTGCTCTTTGGCCCTAGTGCCGGATATATTCTGCCCGGGCCTTATCTCCAAGGCCCTGGGGCTCCCAGCCCCCTATTTGCTTTGGGCAGGGGCACCTGCTGGGCAGATGTGGGCTTCCCACGGCCACCTAGCCAACACAGCTAGACGCGCAAAGGCGCCCCCTGGCGGCCTCTCCTGAGAGCTGGCGGGAAGGGGAGGCGCCAAGTCGCGACTTCATCTGCAAGTAGGGTTTAGGCCAACGCGATGGCAGGCCTGCGGTGGGGCGGTGCCCTGTTTGGCTGTGGGGTGGGTTGTGGGGGTGGGCGGGAGGACAGTCACACAGAGGCGCCTTGTGTGCAGAGAGGACGGGGTGCGGTGGGGAATCGTTTCCCTCTGCAAAGGTTCACGCGGCTCGTTTTTGGAACCCCACAGGCGTAGGATTATATCCTGGTGCAGCCACTTTCTTGCCGCGCGACTTTGGGTACTAGCGCTGAAGTTTTCTGAGCCTGTTTTCTCATCTGTGCAATGGCAACAACAACAGCCTTAGACCCATAGAATTGTCGAGAGGGTTCAATGAATGCCACGATGCATGAAAAACGTTTAACATCGTGGCTGGCATTAAGGAAAGGCTTTTCCTTTTTATTTTATTTTATTTTTAATATTTATTTATATATTTAGCTGTACCGGGTCTTAGTTGTGGCATTCAGGATCTAGTTCTCTGACAAGAGATCAGACCCAGGCCCCCTGAATTGGGAGCGCGGAGTCTTACCCACTGGACCATCAGGGAAGTTCCAAGGCTTTTCCTTTTTAAATTTTGTATCTTTTTTTAAATTAAATTAATTAATTAATTAATTTTTGGCTGTGTTGGGTCTTCATTTCTGTGCGAGGGCTTTCTCCAGTTGTGGAGAGCGGGGGCCACTCTTCATCGCGGTGAGCGGGCCTCTCACTGTCCCGACCTCTCGTTGCGGAGCACAGGCTCCAGACGCGCAGGCTCAGTAGTTGTGGCTCACGGGCCCAGTTGCTCCGTGGCATGTGGGATCCTCTCAGACCAGGGCTTGAACCCATGTCCCCTGCATCGGCAGGCAGATTCTCAACCACTGTGCCACCAGAGAAGCCCTAAATTCTGTATCTTTTTAATCTACTTTCTATTTATTTACTATTCTGCAGTTCTGCAAAGCGGAATTCCTTGTGTTTCCAGCAATCTCACCGTGATGAAATTTTTTTATTACGAAAAATTTCAACATACACAAAACTAGAGAGATTAGTAAAATAAACCCATGACCCTCCTCCCCCTCAAAATGCCCATCACCTAGAATAAGAGCTCTGCAAATTCTATTGCTTTGCTATTTTCCTTCCTCCCTTCAGGCTCTGATACCCCTGTTCTCTGTTCCCCGAGGGCGATGAGGGGGCGTCTATGCTCGCCGCTGCCCATGTTCCTGCTCCTTCTCCAGCCCTGGGAAACCCAGCTCCAGTTCGCAGGTGAGCCAGAGCCCAGCCCTCAGAAGCAGGGGGAGGGGAGCAAAAGCAGGTTCTCCATCTGCAGCCAACTGCTTGCTGGGGAGAGCAAAACAAGAGCTTTGGAACCATAGGGCTTGGGTTCGAGTTCACAGCTTGAACTCTCTGGGCCTCAGTTTTCCCATCTGTAGGATGTGGCTTGGAGGTACCCAAGTTGGGCTCATGCAGAACTGTCCAGTTGGTGTTTAATTTTTTTTTAAGTTAATTGAAAAAAGTCAGGAGATTTCACATAAAAACCCTAATTTCGGGCTTATCTTGAAAAGACCCAAGATCTGCCAACATGGGGTCCTCACGGCTGCAAGGCAACATTTGTCTGGAGCTGCCCACTTTATGAGCTATACGGGCTCTCTGGGTCCTCCGTCCTAACCCATCACATTCACTCATTTATTTATGTTGCCTGCCTAGCTCCTGTAGGCATTTGAGTTTGCGACGTCCCCTCGCCCTCCTCGCAAGTGGATAACACCTCCTCAGTATAGCCCTCAGAGCTGTAGGAGAGATTTGGTGCAGTCTCTCAGTCCAGGCCCTCCTCAAATGCTGCGTGAGTGGATGGAGCTAACCTGCATTTGCTAGGTTAAGATTGTGCTGGGCGCTGTTACACCGTGAGAGCACCATTCCGCCCTGGGTTTCTGTGGGGTTCTCCCGGGAGGTGAGGCTTGGCTAACCTAGGAAAGTCCTCCCTGATCTCCTCTCAGGTCCCAGGTGCCGTACTGGGCCCCTGGATTTGGTGTTCGTGATTGACAGCTCGCGCAGTGTGCGCCCCTTCGAGTTCCAGACGATGCGGCAGTTCCTGCTG